CAAAAAGCTTTGTTTATCATTTACTCAAAATGGTAAATTAATCTCAGAAGGTCATTTTCCTAGCTCACACCCCATATCTATAATTTTAGATTAATCTAAAATATATAAATATAATAGTTAGGGTTATTTGACAAAAATAAATTTTAGCAGTTAATTTTAAGCAGTAAGTTTTGGAGAGAATATAGTTTGAAGTATTAGTAATTATTATTGTATAATTAAATATAATATTATAATTTTTTAATAAACATATTCTTTTATATTTAATAAAATTATCCTTTTATTTATTTTTAATAATATTTGTATAACTCACTTATATAAATCTTTATAATATTTTATTAAGTTTACATTAAGGTTGCTTGTTTAAACTCATTTTGGATTGTTAAATATCTAAACCTTTAGTTTTGCTAAATTTTTACTAACTATTTGATATAGTTTTACCATTTTTATAAGCTTTGATATAATTTTATTTTTAATAAAGGTTTAATATAATTTAACTAAGTTTTATCTTTACCATTTAGATATTTATTTAAACTTTACATTTTGTCTAGCAATCTTAGTTTATATACTTAAATAAATTATTATAATTCAACTTTAAAAGTTATGATGAAATTGTTATCTTTGATAATAGATAATAGTAATGATGAAGGATATTTTATCAATTAATTTGAAATTTATGATTTAATTAACTTAATCTCTTACCTAAAAATAAATAACTTATTTTTTTTTGAATAATAATAATAAATATTTTTTTTAATATAAATTTAAGGTCTGATTTTAGAATAAATACAAATTTGCAAATTAAAATTACAAATAAATCCAATAATATATTTATAGTTTATTAAAAAGAATCTAACTAATATGTAAAATCTATATATATAATATACATATAAGTAGGTAGGTTTTTTTAATTTTTGAATATTTAATTTAAAAATTAAATCAAATACAAATATAAATTTATTTGCTTTAATTTAATCAAATTCAAATCAAAGTATCATTTATTTAATCAAATAAAAATTAATTTTTTATTTAATTTGATCAAATTTAAATTAAGTATTTAAATATTTGATTTGATTTAAATCAATTAGTAAAGTTCTTTTTAAAGCTTTTTTATTAAATATTTGTTAATAAAAAATATCTCTAAATTGTAAAGATATTGATTACTAGATTTTTTTAATAAAAAATATCTTTAAAACTATAAAAATAATTATTACTAAGTTTTTTAATAAAAATTATTTCTGAAATTGCTAAGTTATTTACTAAGTTCTTTTTAATAAAAAATATATTTAAAGTCATGAAGATATTTGTTACTAAAATTTTAGTAAAAGTTATTTTAAAATTTTTAGTATAGTTTACTAATAATTTTTTATTAAACTTTTAGAAATAACTTTTATTTTAATATTTAATTATATAAATTAAAAATTTTTATCAAATATTTGATCAAATATTTAATTTAATTTAATTAAATATTAATTCAATTTATTTTGAGAAACCTTACATATGTATATATTAATTTTTATGTATATATATTATATAATATAAAATATACATAAATTATTACAAAAAAAAATAGAAAAATAATATATAAAAAGTTGTGTATATAATTTTTAACTTAGATATTATTATTATCTAAATGAAAATAAGACACAGTAAATCATGTGATTAGGAATATGATACAAAAAGCATGATTAAATATTTATTGTCAAAGAAACCATAACAAGTTATCTCATAATGAAAATGTGATCATAAATTGTAATATCAATCAATAAAATTGGTATTATGTGATACAATATGCAATATCTAAAAAGTAGGAGTCAATATAATAATTATTAAATCATAGATAAGGTATTAGTAATTATTATATAGTCATGATTAAAGATGGAAACTGTAATTAATATGTTGCAACTTTTAATGTTGCAACTTATGTTGCAATTAGTTTTAACCTATATATGTTGCAACTAATTTTAGCTTATGTTGCAACATTTTGTAAATTTGAAATCAATTGCTGTACCATCTTTAGTCATGATATAGTAACTATACAATGAAATATGTAATAATAATTATGTAATGATTAAGTAATTAAAGGTAATTTTTATATAATAATTATTTAATATATCTGTAATTTTAAATCAATTCAAAATGTATAAATAGAATAGTTAAGATTATTAAAACAGGCAATTTTGGAGTAATTAATTTAAAAGAAATGTAACGTAAAGAATTAGCAATGATAATTATATAATTATCTATAATATTATAATCTTTAATAAAACACATTCTTTTATATTTAATAAAATTACTTTTTTATTTAATTTTTCATAATATTTATATAACTCACTTTAATGATGAATAGTAGCAGCGATCAAGGATATTTCATCAATCAACTTAAAGTTTGTAATATAACAAACTTAATCTTTTATTTAAAATAAACATTCTATTTTTCAAGTAACATTATATATTGCTATTCGCTAATAATGAATAAATTTAATAATTTATTAAATCCAATTAATATATAATTCTAAATTATTATATAATTTGCAAGAATATCAAAACCTTTGTAAAGGCATAATTTTAAACATCATAATAAATCTAAACCAGTCATATATAAAGATTGCTAAATAATAAAATGATTTTAGTATGTTCTAATAATAATTTAAGATAATATCTTATTAAAAATCATAAAAATTTAAAAATATAATAAAAAAATAATCTAATCTTTAAAAAATAGATTTTTTTATTATTATATATTAATAAAATAAATTGCAATTTTAGAATACTTGCAAATACATGATTGATTAGTAATGTTTCTTATATATAAAAATTAAATTGTAATTTTTATTAAAAAAATATTAAAATTTTGCAAATTATAAATTAAAAATTAAATAAGTATCTATTTTAATTATTTATAAATATTTTTATATTTTATTTTCATTATAATTTATATAATTAATTACTTTTATAAAATCCGACTGTAATTTTCTAGATAAAATAATATATATTTTAATATAAAAAGACTGAGAAATTTCAGATATAATAAATTTTTTTTTTTTTTTGAAATACAAAAAAAAAAATTTATTAACAAAGACTATTAAATCACAAATATATACATATAAATATAAATATATAAATAATAATAATAATAATAATAATTGGTTAAAAAGTATTATAAAGAATATATATATTTTTTTCTTTTTAAAAAAAATAAATCATAAAAAAAGCTAAGATTAATTATGGAATGGAAAAACGGATAATAAAACTAATAAAATAACCATGATTTTATTGGAAAAAAAAAAAAGTTACAATAAATAAAAAATTTTGTATTCGTCAATATAAAATATATAATATATTTGTTTAATAATTTAATTATTTAAGCGCGTCCAGGTATTGATATATACTCCTACAAAATTCGTAAGTCAATAAATAATATTTAAAAAGTGGAGTAAAAAAAGGAAAAAAGTAATCAACCAAACTACATAATCTTTTAATAAAGGATCTTACCTTAAAATGAAAGTCAGGATCTTCTTGTACAAAGGCATCATCTAAAAGTTTTTCGGCGGTTGGCCGTTCATCTGGCTCTCTTTTAAATACGAATAAATAAAATCGTATCATTAATTTGAATTATAAAAAAAAATTTATCCAACAAAACTAACATTATAAAGCATCGATCTATAAACTTTCTTGCTTCATATGACATTATGATGTCTTTTTTTATTGGAGGTGCTTTTTTCTCGCTTCCAAGCTACGTATCATTCAAAATTATAAAATATAAGGTTAATAATATTTAATTAACAATAATTTTAGTAAACTTTGTACCGATAGACCAACCTTAAACATTGCAGCAAGGTCCGTTAATTCAGACCAAGGTCTTTCCCCGGCAAACATTTCAAGTACAACACAACCCAGACTCCTATAATGTATCAAATCAAAATTATGTTATATAATTCAACATACTTACAATACATAATATAATTGTACAAAAAAGATTTTACCATATGTCAACCTTAGCACTATAACCTCTAGTAAACACCTCTGGTGCCATCCAGAAGATAGTGCCTTGCAATGACATATTTGAATTGTAATCATAGGCAGCTAGGGCATGATCTAATTAAAAGTATTTGTGAAGTTATATACAAACCTATTTAAAGAAACAGGTTTAATAAACACATACCACTTTTCTTCGAGATTCCAAAATCAGAAATCTTACAACACCCTTCTTCGTCGACAAGAATATTATCTGCTTTAATGTCCTAATAAACAAAGAAAATATCAGTAATGTTAACGTGCATCACAAGTAAATTAGAAATAAAAGAACATATACTCTGTGTAATATTCTTTTATTATGTAAGTACTGCAACCCTAATAAAATCTGCCGTGTGAATGATCTTACGACAGGTTCTTCGAACGCTCCATAAATTCTTAAACAGGTACCAATGGATCCACCATTAACATATTCAAGAAAAATATTAATGGTTTCCTTATTTCTTTCAAACCCTATTAATTCATTGTATATAAATTAAATGTCTATTGAAATGTATGAAATAAAAGAAGAAACTAACCTATATATTGGACAATATGATCATGATCTAAATCTTTAAGAATTTCCATTTCGTCAGTGAACGATTTGACCTTTATTAAAAGAAAAGTATAATTAGATCAAGGTATTTATTATAAATTGACAAAGTATTATTTTTCTTTTTACTTAATCGTAATTATACCAAGTTTTGTTGCCTCTCATTCAATTTATCCGACTTCGTTGTTGGTAACTCGATTTGTTTGACTGCCATTATTTCAGAAGAGTTCATATTCATAGCAAGAAATACCTTTCCAAATGTTCCTTTACCAATAAGTTCACCTTTCACCCATTTTACAGCTTTTTTTCGTTTTTTAAAAAAAAAAATACATGATTAGAATACCAAATTTTATTAACCTAGAAATTGGTATGCAGATAAATATATACAAACGTTTTCTTTCAGCAGGAACAGATTCACAAGGAGGAGCATCTGGGGGACAAGGTTTTCTTTCAGCAGGAACAGATTCACAAGGAGGGGCATCTGGGGGACAAGGTTTTTTATGTGAAGGAACTTCTTCAACAACTTTCTTATCCCATAATTTAGTAGTGGGCTTTCTACTTAATCTTTGACCTGCTTTAATAGTATTGACCACACCAATTAATTTACTTTTACTCCTTTCTCTCTTTTCACGTTGTTCACGTTCATGTGCTTCACGAGCCGCAGCACGAATGGATTTTCCTCTTTGTATTCCTCCAGTTTTTCCCGGTACAATAGGTACACTTTTTGATTCTTCATTATTACTTGGTTGTTGAACAGAAGGACCATTTGCATCTATAATAGGTTTGTCAAGATCATGACCAGGAAAGTATTGTTCTAAATGCTCAAAAAGATCTTCAGCTGTAGGACGAACCACCCATGATTCATCTACGCCTCTACGCATCGACACTGTACGTGCTAAACCCGAAGATCTATTTTTTTCCTGTTTCGGAGGTTTAGGTGTGGAATTTTCTTTTGAACATTCATAATTATTAATTCCTAGTTCGTTTATGTCATTATTAGATTTTGCATTTCTTATATTTTGTTCTTGTTCACCATTATTATTATCATCATAAGTTTTGTGAACTGAAGTTAAGCTTACAGCTGAATCTATTGTTTCATCTTTATGCATAACAAGGGAATTTATTGATTGTCCATTATTTGAAGATGGTTTTGAATTTTGAGCATAGATCTCCTCGGAGGTTGCATCAGCTATAACAGCTTTATTCTTTACTTCAATCGATTTACTTGAAATTGGTTTTTGAGCCCAAAAACTTTCATCACCCCCACTATCATTTGATGTATAATTTAAAGACTTAGGTATAGATGATATTTTAGGCTTTTGCGCCCAAAATCCACTATCATCATCTTCAATACTAGAATTATCCAAAGAACTTGTTAGACTAGAAGTTCTGGTAGGAAGTTCATCATCATTAATAAATGGTAAATTACTATCATTTTGCAAAAGTTTTGTTGCAGGTTTTGCCCAAAATGATTCTTCTGCTTTCTTTGGATGAGTTGAGGACGTGATTTTTGGCCATAATTGAGGCTCGTCTCCTTCTTCTGGAAACAGAGCTTTAATGGAATGGGTTCGAACTATAGAATGGCGATTATATTCTTTTCCTGCCGATTGCCGCATATCAGGTTTCTTAAGAGTAAGATCAGGCTCAGATGTTACCACATGCATGGTACGTTTATAACGATCTGACTCTGGTGGATCTCGTGAACTAATATCATTTAAAGAAGACGGTGGTTTAGATAGGGGTAAATGAGGTTGAGATCTACTACTACGCATATATACTCCTCCGGAAGCAGCTGGTATTAAAGATTGTTGTTGAGAATTCTGTGCTACGCTATTAGGCTTTGGTGGTACTGGCGGTGGTGGATTATTTCGTACATCATTATCTGAACTTCTAACACTTTCTATAATATTTTCTCGACTAGAAGAACTTCTCATATTTTTTCCATTCGCTGGCTGCAAAACAGATGGATGTTCTATTTGTTTTAATGGTTGTGACCTAGGTTTTAAAGAAGTGTTACTACGGGAATAATCAATACCTATACGATGTTGCGATAATGATGAAATTGGAAAATCAAGGTTCTCCCTATCATTAGATACCGCCCGCCGATGGGATTTTTTGCTATAAGGATAATTTGAAGGTGCTCCAAAAGATAGTATTTTGTGATCCGGGTACATATGATTACTTCCTTGTTTTTGTAAAAAATCATGTGGTCTCGGAAAAGTCATAGGTCCTCCAATTTTATTTATGTCTGGCGACTCTTCTGATAAAGAACTGAACTCTTCGGGTTGTGATACCTTCCAACGTTCTGAAATTTTTGGATCAAATCCACCAGCATTATTATTATTATTATTATTACGATGATTATTATTACTATTACTATTATTATTATTATTATTATTATTATTATTATTATTATTAGGTGACAATGGTGATGATTGATTAATTTCTGAAAAGTATGGTTGTGACATTTCTGGAGGAACTTTACGTCTTGGAAATCTTGTTTTATTTGATTGATCCCCCCCACCTGGAATTAAATTTGAAGGAGAAGTACTTTTCCCCGAATCAACGTATGTTCTATTAAATTCTGGATTTTGTCCTCCTTGCATAACCATTTTACCTTGATTTTGACTTTGCGCATCACATGTATCTGATAATTTAACAAATAAATTTAATGTATCAGCATTCATACATTTCTGAATCAATATTTCATCGTCTATAATAGGACCTATAATCCAGAAAAAGAAGAATTAATTCTCTTTTTAGCTTAAAGTATTGCAAACAAATAAATATATAAATACATACCTATTTCACTTTGTTCAATTTCATTCAAATGTAATGTAAAATGTTCCCATTCATTAATCCTCAATTGAGAAATAATTTCATTTTTAATTGTGGAAGGGTCCATCCAATCATTCAAATAAACCACGCGTAAATTTATATTATCTCTAGTTACTATAAGTCTTTTTCGCTGAGCGACAATAGGATTAGATTCTTCACCAGTTTCAATGTTCTATCAATAAAATATGTTAGGATAAGATTATATTAGTCAAAAAAAAAGATTTATAAATAAAATAATTATTTTAAATTTTATACATAAAATGCATACTAATACATTTGTTCTAACATGATAGCTTCTTTTATTAATTCTTGAACTAGAAAGAGGACTTATATTAGTATCTTCTGATGATAATACACTAGATTGTTGTTGTTGTATAACAGAAGGATTATTATTAAAATTATGTTGCTCAGATGATCCAGGTAAATGAGATTCTGATATCATTCTAAGTAATGATGTTGAACACTTATCATCATTATTCATCGTAGTAGCATTATTTTCATTAGGTAAATCTACTTCCTTTATTATTGTGGTCGAATTTGGTGAATTGTTACTCCAACCAATCGAAGATGTTCTTGGACCTATCTTTGGACTTGTTATAGGTCCTTTTGGATTTAATTCAGAAAAACTTGTCGATAATTTTAAAGGTTTTTGCTTTGAATTTTGTTCTGTTGGCGAAGGTACTGATTGTATAATCGGAGTTGTTGGATAATTTTGTTCATTTATAGAATTGGATGATGATAATTTGTTTCCTGATGGACTTTGAATATCCGGTTGATTACCCTAAATAAATTATCATTATAATTAGAATTAATAAAAAGATGATAAAAAAAATTTTTTTTTTTAATTATTTAAGACCTTATTAGATAGTGATTCTCGTTTGGGGATCTTTCTAATTGCTGTTATTAATTTATAACGACTAGCATTTTTCAATAAACTTTTAATTTTTCTAACATCTCCAAGAGCAAAAAATTTTTCCCCACATAAATTATTCTCTAAGTATAATCATTTTCCCATTAAAAAAATAAATAAATAAATTTATTAATTAATCAAATACATTTAGAAAAGTAAAAAAAAGAATTTAATAATACGATACCAATAAACATCGTTTTATATTCACTAAAAGCATTATCCTCAAGCCAATCTAATACTCTATCCAGCGTCCATGAAGCAGGTTCAATTTCTCCATCAAAGGAGGCGGATCTACTTCGATCGTGAGTGTGACTAGTTATATGGTCCCTACGAGTTAAAGAAGCCGCAGTTGAACTAGTTGGACTAAACCCGTCAATATTTGTACTTATAGGAGAAGGTGGTGACTGACGTCGTTTAGATGTAGTTTCAATTGTTGCCGAAGCAATATCAATTTCGGTCGGAGTAGCGTTTTGTTGTAAGGAGTAACTTGACCCTAAAGATTTTTGTTCTGACTGATTATATACTCCAGGTACTGTTTGTGCTAAGTAACTACCCGAAGATTGAATGCTAGACGCTGAAGATGAACGTGAACGTGATTCAATGATAGTGAAATGGCCATTTGTAGACGCAGTTCCAGTTATTGTTGGCGTTGTTGAAGAATTTGTTTGGCCATTATCAGACAGGGAATCGTTAACTATAGATTGAACGTTTCCGTCCGAAGGTATGCTAACGCCCAGATTAGAAGTCACATTGATATCGTCTGAAGGACGTCTCTCGTTGTTATCCGACAACATGTTGAGGCATGAGTAAAAAATATCGATTATCTTTTTTTCTTTTATTTGTTTTATAATGGGAGATAATTGGTATTTCTTTATTTTGGTTACTCACGTGAATTGAATATAGTTCACAAATCTTTGGATCAGCAAATATAGTTTGTGACCCTAACCATTTTCCATATTTCCAATGAATAGAAACTCCATATGTGATTGGGATGTACGACATCAGTCAAAATTGCTAATCGTGTAACCTCCAATATGCCGATCCTTATTTGACCGATCTTAACACCTACTACTTTTGACAGAACAAGAATTTTTAAAATTGGAAATTAAAAAAAAAACAATAACTCAAGAAAATTATTTATGATGTAATAATGTTCGAAATTAGGAAGTGAAAAAAATAAAAAAATAAACATTTAAAAGTCATTAAAACGAAATTTTTTTATATATAAAACATTTTTTTATTTTTTTAAATTTTTTTCTGTTTGATTTTTAAAGTTTATCATCAATAAATCTAAAAATATTAATTGATTTTATTAATAATGCCCGTCCTAAAAAAAACAAGCTAAACATTTGAAAAAAGCATAAAATTGTAAAGAATTAATTCAACAAAAAAATTATGATGAATATAATTCTCAAAAAGGCACTAAGATCGAACTTATAATAAAATTTTTAATCATTTAAAAATTTAAATGAAAATAATAGCATATTTAACAAAAAATGTGTAGAATTAATTAAAATTATAGATTATTTATCTGATTCACAAATAGAAAGAGATTCACTATTAAATATTATGGTATATCCTAAAGGAAGGAATATTGAAGAAATATTATTTCCTTATTTTCAAAAAAAAAGCATATGATTTTATTAAAGCTAGACTTTATAAACAAGAATCAAATGCAACCAACTGCTATTCAAGAAAAGACAAAATCTATAAAAAATGAAAATAGTCAACTCAAAAAAGTAGCTATGAATTCTAAAAAACAAAAAATATAAAAGTAGCTAAGGCTAATACTTTTAAAGTTAAACAAATTTCAAAAATACATTCTTCTATTTAAAAAGCAAAAAAAAAAACATCAAAACAATTTCAAAAATTAGTTAAAAAATTATTTAAGCTAAATAAGAAAGAATATATTCCTCAATTTGTAAAATTATCAACTGAAATTAGCAATATAAGTCATAATTCTATTAATTCAACTATTGAAAATACTAAAGTTATATATACATACATACATTCTTAACTAAAGAAATATCTACTAAATAGATTTCTGCTAATATATTAGCAAAATGAAACAAAGAAATTGCTCAAATAAATCTTATAGAAAATTGACCAAATAATATAAATTTACAATTTTATAAATATGGAATAATGGTAGATGAAAGTATTTGAAAAAAATATTAATTATTTGCACTGCATATTAAAATCAAGAAAAAAATAGATCAATAATAACTGTTATTAAAATAGAAGTTATGATTCATTGTAATAGAAAAATATCACAATAGTTATTTTAAATGCTTATTATGAAAATTAATTAGATTTACAATTATATTATTTTTTGCTTACAGATAATACAGCATATATACCAGCAGAAAAAAAAGGTGTAATAACACATTTTAATTTAATAACAAATGCTAATTCTTTTTATATTTCTTATGAATTACATGCTACTCAAATTGTATTAATGAATTTTGAAAATATAGTATTTGGAAAACTTGATTTACCATCAGGATTAAGGTTGCTTATTTAAACTCATTTTGTATTTGGCTAAATATCTAAACCTTTAATTTTGTTCTTAATTAGGATTATCATTAAAAAAATATCTATATAATCTTATTAATTTAGCTTTTTATTTTCATAATGAATATAATAAAAATAATAAGGATAATTCTTTAAATATGAAAGCAGAATTAATATATTAACTTTATAAAAAAATTTTAGATTATGATTTAAAAAATTATCAAAAACTTATTAAACAAAGATGGTTATATGAATTAAAGATAGCAAAATAATATTTTAAATGATATTCAGTTCATATTAAATTTATTCAATGGTTTATAAAAAACTATATATTATTAAAAAAACATCACAAACCATATTGAAAAATGGAAATTATTTTATTTATAGTTAAATAATATTAAACTTAATCTTCAATTACAATTAGAGTTATTAAAAGTTCTAATAGGTCCTAATTGGTCTTAAAGAATTTAAAGATAATTTTAATTTATATACTATTAATTAAATTTTTTAATAAT